GGATCTTTCTAGTCAGAACGTAATTAATAAACTTAAAGCTTGTTTTTCACGTTTTGGTATACCTAGAGTTTTTATGTCTGATGGTGGAGGAGAGTTTTCTAGTTATGAGTTCTCCAAGTTTTCTAACGAGTGGGAATTTCAGCACATAAAAAGCACACCCAGATATCCGCAAAGTAACGGAGCTGTAGAAAGAGCTATACAAACGACTAAAAGTATTTTACGAAAATGCATACTAGACAAGAAAGACCCTTATTTAGCATTGTTAGATTTAAGAATTTCACCAATAGACGGAACTCACAGTCCTGCCAATATACTCATGTGTCGAAATTTAAGGTCATTGTTACCTCAAACTAATAAAAATTTAAAGTCAAAATTATATAATAGTGCTCAATATAATAATTTTCTTAAAATTTCTCAAGAGAAACAAAAACATTATTATGATAGGCAAGGAACAAGAAAATTGAGAAAATTAGATAGAGATGAGAGAGTTATGGTTCAAATAATGCCCAGAGGTATGTGGCAGGAAGGTGAAGTTAAAAAAGTATTAAATGACAGAGCTTACCAGGTTGATGTAAATGGAAAGTGTTATATAAGAAATAGGAGATTTATTAAACCATATAAAGATTTCAAAAGTAAGAAACATTCTAATAATCAGTCACATACAAATAATTTTTCAAATAATAATAATAATAATACAGTTTTTGGTCAAAATCTAAGTGAATACTGTTTTCTAAATTTAAATAATACAAGTACTTTACAAAATAATCAAGACTTAGATCATTCGAATGTTGTTACAATTGAAAATAATGAAAATAATAGCGACAGTGTGAAAGCTAATAGTAGTAGTAGTAGTAGTGACGAATCTTTTGAGAATTGTTTAGATTATAAAAATGTTGTAAAGAATTATGACCAATTTGAATTTGAATTTCAAAGTTCTAATAGTAGCTATAGTAATTCAACGGACCCGAGTATAGTTAATGAAAATTATGTAAATAGATATGGAAGATCAATAAAAAAACCATCAAAATTCGATGATTAAATATGTTTGTAACTGAGATTCAGTAGGTCAAAGATGATGATATTACGTAAGTACCCTTATTACATAATAAGAGTAATAAATTAAATTAAAAAAAAAAAAAAAAAAGGAAGGCAAGAGCTGATAATGAAAGGGTTTATAAATAACTAATAGCTTGTGTGTATAAACTTTGTAATTGTTTTGTTATACAGGTATTAAAAGTTATGTTATACAAATAATAAAGTTATGTTATACAGGTATTAAAGTTATGTTATACAAATAATTAAGTTATATCACAAAACTATGTTCTATATGTAGTAAAGATGTTAGACATTTATTAAATGTTTGTGGTACAAGATTGTATATACTTATTTAGTTTTAGTTTAGTTTTGTCTGTGATATTAGTATAACTGTAATATAATGTTATATCTGAAAAGGGGAGATGTAACGGAACGTACCCTTGTCAGATGTCAAGTCATACACATGACTAATAAACCATTGTTCAACCAACTGTCGTATCATTAACACAAATTCTGTTAACACACTGTTATTTTTTATACTACTGTTAGATAACAGAGGACTTAGCTGGACAATGGTGCATATGGCCGTAAGAAATTATCAACTTTTAACACCCTGTATAACGAAAACTAGTCATAAGATTAAGTTGAGCATATTTACACTTTTGGTTACTAGGTTGAGTAATCCTTCCTCCATGGTTGAGTACAGTACAGTATTATTAATTTTAAATTTAAACTGTAACTTGGGTGGTTAAGTTTTTCGCCCATAAAAACTAAAAATGGAGTATGAAATAATAATTTCACCAGTAGCCCCATCTAGAGTTTTGAGCAAATAGCATAAAAAATGTCAGTTGTCGGTTTTGACCTTGGTCCACATACTTTGATTTTCTTTTACTATACGGAGAATGGTCGCACTGCGCAGCTTTCTGAGTGCCTTTTAAAAGGAGAGAAAACTCCGCCATTTTGAACCCTTATTACGTGTTGCCTACATCTTGGCGCAATATTTTTAATAGGGGCGTTTTAATCATCCGCTTCTGCTTCGGAATTGTCAGTTTTCTTGTTTTAATCTGACAGGTTAAAACAACTAAACAGACAATTCCGGAAGCAGAAGCGGATGATTAAAACGCACCTGATATTTTGCTAGCTGCTGTCAGTGTCAGTGAATAGTAGTCGTTTTCTTTTTACAAGCATACTTGACTAACTAAAAGTTAGATTCTGATCTAAGCTTAACTGTAAAAAGAACGCGAATTTTGGTTGACAGGTGACGTGCCCCATGCCATCCGTTTAAAAACAATCCATATTTTAATCAAATTTTATAATTTTTTCAACATTCAACACTACAAATCTCATCCCCTGTTATCATAGTCTTTTATTCTCTCTAAAATAATGAATTCATGGGATATGTTTGTTCATATGATGCACAGAACACTCACTTTCTGTGATGGTTTATGGTTGACGTCAAGTACCGTGCACCTTAGCATCGGTAAGGGGGGAAGAAAGATTCTGACTTACAATCGTAAAAAGAACATACATCTCAGCTTAGTCGATGTAAGTTAGCTCAGATTAGTTGTAAAAAGAAAACGACTACTATTTTTGAAGTCACAGTTTATTGCTAAAGAATCAGTTAGCTCACTCGGACCAGTTGAAAGTTCCAAAATAACATCCACTCCAGGGATACAAATTCAGGATACGCAGAAGACTGCTGTTTTATTATAGGCGGTTCTCATATATTGTATTATCTGAGTTGCGCAGTGTATAAACTGGAAGATTGAGATAAAAAGTGCCGAAGCAGAGTGAGCGATCTGATTCTTTAGCTATAAACTGTGTCATAGGGTTCAAAATGGCCGCGAGCTTTGTTGGGCGTGTCGGACCTGGAGTGGATGTTATTTTGGAACTTTCAACTGGTCCGAGTGAGCTAACTAATTCTTTAGCAATAAACTGTGACTCCAAAAATAATATTCACTGACACCACATACTTTGATTTTCTTTTACTATACGGAGAATGGTCGCACTGCGCAGCTTTCTGAGTGCCTTTAAAAGGAGATAGAAAACTCCGCCATTTTGAACCCTTATTACGTGTTGCCTACATCTTGGCGCAAGATTTTTAATAGGTGCGTTTTAATCATCCGCTTCTGCTTCGGAATTGTCGGTTTTCTTGTTTTAATCTGACAGGTTAGAACGACTGAACCGACAATTCGGGAAGCAAAAGCGGATGATTAAAACGCACCTGATATTTTGCTTGCTGCTGTCAGTGTCAGTGAATATTATTTTTGGAGTCACAGTTTATTGCTACAGAATCAGTTAGTTCACTCGGACCAGTTGAAAGTTTCAAAATAACATCCACTCCAGGGATGTAAATTCAGGATACGCAGAAGACTGCTATTTTATTATAGGCGGTTGTTATATATTGTATTATCTGAGTTGCGCAGTGTATAAACTGGAACATTGAGATAAAAAGTGCCGACGCAGAGTGAGCGATCTGATTCTTTAGTTATAAACTGTGTCATAGGGTTCAAAATGGCCGCGCCCTATGTTGTGCGTGTCGGACCTCTCTCTTGCCCAATGAACTGGAGGGGGGTAGAATGCCAATGTACATGTTGTACTATTAGAACAAGGTGCGACTCGATGGGCGCAGCCATTTTTATTGTTCATCTCACTCGGGACTATTTATAATAACCATTTTCTGTTTCACATTGTTATTGTTCAATCCACAAGCTGGTGGATCAGACAATAACAATGTGAAATAGAAACTGGCTATTTTAAATACTCCCGAGTGAGATAAAAAATAACCTATCTTCGCCCATAGAGTCGCACACACATACTTTGATTACTATACGAGGCAAGAGAGAGGTCCGACACGCCCAACATAGGGAGCGGCCATTTTGAACCCTGTGACACAGTTACAGCTAAAGAATCAGATCGCTCACTCTGCGTCGGCACTTTTAATCTCAATGTTTCAGTTTATACACTGTGCAACTCGGATAATACAATATATGACAACCGCCTATAATAAAACAGCAGTCTTCTGCGTATCCTGAATTTGTATCCCTGGAGTGGATGCTATTTTGGAACTTTCAACTGGTCCGAGTGAGCTAACTGATTCTTTAGCAATAAACTGTGACTTCAAAAATAATATTCACTGACACTGACAGCAGCAAGCAAAATATCAGGTGCGTTTTAATCATCCGCTTCTGCTTCCGGAATTGTCGGTTTAGTCGTTTTAACCTGTCAGATTAAAACAAGAAAACCGACAATTCCGAAGCAGAAGCGGATGATTAAAACGCACCTATTAAAAATATTGCGCCAAGATGTAGGCAATACGTAATAAGGGTTCAAAATGGAGGAGTTTTCTATCTCCTTTTAAAAGGCACTCAGAAAGCTGCGTAGTGCGACCATTCTCCGTATAGTAAAAGAATATCAAAGTAGTAGTGGTCGCACATCAAGTCTATTGACAAGCATTCTACCCCACTCCAGTTCATTGCTCTTGCCCCGTATAGTAATCAAAGTATGTGTACAACACGCTTTTGAGCAAATACGCATTCGCATTTAGTAAATGCGCATTCGCATTGATTAAAGCACCAGTCGAGGATAGGTGCCCCAGTCCAGGACAATGAACTGGAGTGGGGTAGAATGCTTGTCAATAGGCTTGAGATGCGACTCTATGGGCAAAGACAGGTTATTTTTCATCTCACTCGGGTGTATTTATAACAACCATTTTCTATTTCATTTTGTTATTGTCTGATCCACCAGCTTGTGGATTGAACAATAACAATGTGAAACAGAAAATGGTTATTATAAATACTCCCGAGTGAGATGAGAAATAAAAATGGCTGCGCCCATAGAGTCACACCTTGTTCTATTGATACAAAATGCACATTGGCTTTCTACCCCACTCCAGTTCATTGGTCCAGGATAGGTCCATACGGGCATGGTCATAGATTACGGCATGGTTATACGGGTGAGCAATCTATATTACAATATACAGCGTTGGGTCATGCTGTCAAACAACTGTCACCTGTCAGTTAAGTAAAGTACAACGTCATTTTTCATTTTTGATCTTAAAGAACGGTGAGTAATTATTTTAATAATTTAAAAATAGATTAAAGCCACATCAGACTATTTTGCAAATATTTAAATAGCTACGACCATTCTCCTTCAGCTGCTACATAATTAACCTCATTCCGATTAGTAGAAATGAGTCTTCAGTGGACGCTTATCGCCGGTTTCCTTTATTTGGAAATCGCCATAGTGCTTCTTTTGGTGCTTCCAGTAGCTTCCCCGAAAAGATGGAACTCCTTCTTCAAATCGAAATTCCTTCAAGGGTTACAGAAGCAGGCCTGGTTTTATTTTTTGATGCTGCTGGGTATATTGGTCCTGTTTTTATTGGACGCCATTAGAGAAATGAGGAAATATTCAAATCTGGGTAATTAAAATTAATATATAAATTCATTTATTAAGGCTACTAATACACCATTAGATTAGTGTTTAAAATACCTTTCTTTTAGATTTTTTGTTAACACATTTTATGCATAAAAAAACAATTAAAATTTTTAGAAGCTGAGGAACATGGGCATGCTCACTTAGATCGTGAAATGCAAGGCTCCATGAGACTTTTTAGGGCCCAACGTAACTTCTACATTTCCGGGTTTGCTTTGTTCTTGTCTTTGGTTATCAGAAGGCTCGTCATTTTGATTTCTGAGCAGGCCACTCTGCAAGCCCAATCTGAGGCTTCTATGAGACAAGCTCAAAGCGCAACCACCGCTGCCAAGAGTTTATTAGCTCAAAGAGGAGAAGTTGAACAAAATGAAAGTAATGAGGCTCATGACCAAGAGGTAAGTTTGGGCTCTTTAAATTTATTTTAGGGATGCGCACGATGTATTGATGTTTAAAAAACATCGATTTTTAGGATTTGATTATTGATGTTCAACATCGATGTTTTTTAATCCGATGTTATTAGTTAACATCAAGTTTTTTTTATTCGATGTTATATTTTTTTACAATATCGATAGTCTGTATTCTATGTATCATTTGATGTCAACAACAATGTTTTAAAAAATTTGCGCATTCCTAATTTGTTTAATTTTTTTATGTTTAATTTTAATTTGACTTATTTAAATATGGAAATGTTTTTCTTTATCTCTTGTTTGTCAATGATTAAAAATCTTGCCAATTTTTCATGTAAATGTAATATGACATTTAAGTTTGAGGCATCATTAAATGAATTTTTGGAATTTAAAAATAAATTTAATATTTTGTTTTGTTGTGAATGTCTCTGAAATGTTTGATATGATAATATAAATTTTTTTCTAAGGTAAATATTCTGAAGTCGAAAATTAAGAAGCTTCAAGAAGAACTAACATTGGAAGAGAAAGATAAGACTGCTTTAAAGACTCAAGCTGACAACTTGGCTAAAGAATATGATCGTCTCGCTGAGGAGCACAGCAAACTTCAAAAGAAATTAACAATTTCTGCACAAAATGATAAAAAAGATGAGTAAATACAAACTTGTTTAACTTATCAGATACTTTATTTATAAATTATTTTTCATCTGAACAGAAATATCTTAAATCTTCTACAAGAGATTAAAAAATAAATATATTTTAAGAATGTTAGAAAGTATATGAGTATCAATTTGAATATTTTTGTGAAGCTTTAAAATTAAATGAGTTGTGAGTATATCAAGAGGTGGTTGGGCATCTAGATCTGGCTAGTTTGATAACATGTACTAAATGATTAAAAAAAAGCTATCATCAAATTTGGCCTGAATAATAGTTTAGGTATCCTTGTAATTACTATCTGTGAAAACTAGTTTTAAGGTGTATTTATCTATTTTTTTTTTCTTTTTTGTTAACTATATCCTCATTTGTTGACAAAATATGTGTTCTCTAATAATATTATATTGATACACTTATTGTTATATTTCAAGGTTAATTACAGTTATTTTTAAACAATAAATTGAAGTAAAACTTTTAAGGTGAGTTTTAATACACACTTTCCAATGTTTTGCTTCCCATATAATTGAATCCAGAAATAATGACAGTAATACAATGTTAGGAATTTGTGAAGACTACTGAAAGAATTGCCACTGAAAATCCGTTTGCCCTTTAGAGCAAACCGAACACCAAAAATTTATAATTCCTTCTGAGCCTGATTTTTGTGAAATTTTAGGAAATAACAATTTTTTGTAAACCTTCGAAAAATTTTAAAAGATTTCAAAAAAATATTTACGTGCCATTCTATATAAAATTTATGAAAATTTGTTTTAATAAATGTCTAGTACTAGTAGTTTTTAAATGGGATGATTTCCCACCTTGTTTTCTTAAACATCTGCCTTATCCTTGCACAAATTTAAAGCTCTCAATATTCTTAAGACCAATATCACTAATTATTTCCAGAGGCATGCATAAAATACAATTTTATATTAGAAAATCCGCGAGAGGTCCGGTTTTCTCGTAACCTTCGAAATCTCAACTTAACTTTGGGGCATTCTTCATTACTGCCCATTTTCAAAATAAAATTCACATATTTTCAATTCATCTTAAATACATAATCAGAAGATTGCTTCCCATTCTGAACGTTGTTGCAGGAAGCCAGGCTAAGACTGGCGATGTTGCCATTTGTTTCCTCTTGTTTTTATTGTTGTTTTTCTTGCTCCTTGTATGGTTAACATCAAGAATTTTAGGTGAATTATGGTCAATCTGCACTATACGGAACAAGCGTCACGTAATGGAACGGTAACATCACGTTAAAATATTAAATGGGTTTCTGATGGTAACATTCACGTTCATAGATAACGTCACAAACCGTCAAGATTTTTCAAAAACGTTAGTTTTTAACCAACCTTTAAAAATGGGGAGGTTATTGCAATCACTCTAAAATTCGAATTTAAGATAACACCAAATCTTTACATTTTGGGGTTCTAGGAACCAAAGAACATAATTTGAAAAAATCTGGACGTACATATACAGTATGTTCGCGAATTGTAAAAATATTTTAAATAAAAAAAAAATCTATAATTTCTTTTGCTTGTTAAATACATACGTTTCACGTTGAGAAACTTCAATTTCGTTATACAATACAAAATACAATTGTGGAATTGCAAAATTAAAAATGTTTAAATACAATTTATTAAGCTCTCGAAGAGTTTTTCGATTTCACCTTACAAGCTCATTATTAAAGCCCTTTTTTCTTTTCTAAATTTTTAAAATCTACAATTTTTGTAAAAAAGAAATTAAAAATGATATTTTTACAAGTATTAAGCCCATCTGTGGACACAATATATAGTTAATATGTGTGACCAAAACTATTCAGCCGATTTTGGAACATAGGATTTGCAGGGCCCCCTAAAGGGCTGGTTAGACTTTGGGTATAGCCACTAGCCAGACTTTATGCAGAGTAGTTTTTGTTCTTTTTTGGTATATTTGTGCTACTTATAATTGGAGAAGAGAATTAATAAATTCCAGGCCAGGAAATTGTTAACCAGCCATAGTAAAATCCTTCATCAACAATATATAGTTTTGTACAGATATTTTATACTTTCTGTCTGTATACGGATAAGGAAAGTATAGAAATGATGATGTGTGTACCGCAGTTGTGGGGAGTTTCGCCTGAATAAAACTAGGTCTGTGGGAACATCAAAACTCCCCACATCCGGTGCATTTCTTATATCTCGAGCGTTTGTTTATCCACATCGGACACATCTACTACACCTACATCTGCGTTTATTTATCCGAGATGTAGCTGCCTAGTGAAGCCAAGTTTATCGATTTATCCTTTGTTTATGCTAGGGTGAATATAAAAGTGTGTTTAATTTTTTGTTTAGATTTCAAATTTAGGTTGATTTCTAGTCTCAAAAGTCAAATTTAAAAAATATAAACTTCTAACTTGTCATTTTATCATGTGGCCAACAAAATCTAGAGCGTTTGTTTATTACATTTAGATCTAATCCTCTATTACGTGATAAAAAATTCACATCTCAGATGCATCCGATGTAGATATTCAAACACAGCATATATAACATGTTAATGAAATATCTTTTATAGTCTCGTGCCGGCCTAAATACAACACTAGAAATCGAAAACAATAAGATCAATCCACGTGGACTAGTTTAACATAACAATACTTGGCCCAACATCCAATAAAATTTCACAACATTGAACTATACGATACTACAATAATTGGATATCAAAGTCAACGTGGATGAAATAAAACGAATGTAGTGAGACAAATAGAAAAGCACAATTGTGTCAGTGATTAAAATTTTGTATGTTCCTTGGCAAACAGGAGCAACGATGCCAAGCATAAATTATTTCTGCAGTAAGATCAGTAAATTCAACAAAAATTTAGTCACTTAGTGATAATAAAGTGCATCTTATCACTTTGTTTTTACAGTTTGATAACTGTGCTTGGGTGCTTTCAAATCAACACCTTGATATACTTATTCAAGAATATGCAGGAAGGGCACTTTCGCAATTTGATCATGATGTGGTACTTGGAATATGAAAAACTGCAATTCTCCAAAAACCTTTATTGCCACCAAAAACTCACAGAAAAACTTTTATCAAGGGCCATAACGTGATGCCACCATTTGAGTGGGATAAACAACATGTCACCAGGTTCTAGAAGGCACTTAAACATTGTGGTTTTTGTAAATTTAGGATAGTTTTGCAAATCTGGTACTACAGGATTTACTTGAGCCGTATTATTCAATAATTTATCTTCGTGTGGATATAAATATGGGGTGTCCTTCGGCGAAAACAAGATAATTTGTTTAGTACCATATATCTTAAAGTTTAAATTTCAATTAGAATTTTGGCAAAATAATGTTTATCTTTTACAAATACTAACCTGAGCAAGCAAGTTGTTTTTTGGATCATGATGCAGAGGTGATACAGTTCCTACAGGGCCTAACCATGCATTTATATCTGGTTCAGTAGTATTATCATAATCTAAGCTTAAACAGCAATATTCTGGAATGCAGATATCATCTTTTAGTTCAGTTATCTACAAAATATATTATAAGCAGTTTTTTTAAAGTAAAATAAAGTCTAAAACCTGTTCAAATAAATTGTGTTGCGCCAGATAACCAATATCTCCACTCTCTGACAAGTAATGTTTGTGAATAAATTCTTTGAGCGTCATCAACTTCTGAGTCCAGGTTTCATCAACATAATGTGATCCTATTTCTATAGGAACTGTTCGATCACCAGCGATTTCCAGCAAATAGGTTATATTAGGCCATTTTTTAAGAGCTGGCCAGTGTTGGATACAATCTAGAAGAAATAATTTTCCTTAAAATAGTTATATTATTGTGTAATTTTATTTCTTTAAATTATTGCTTACTTTTTAATTTCACTGGTATTTGAGGCACAAAGTAAGTTTTGTTAAAAAATTCCAATGAAGGACACTCAATAGAATCAACATTTTTTCCTGGCAGATTTAAAAATTCTTTGGGAACTTCTATACCTCTTTTACTAGCATTATTTTCTGTATTACTTTTATTTTCGATGGATTCGATAAGTTTATTTAGTACTTTCCTTAAATACTTGGCAGAGCTAGTTAATAATTCCAGATTATGTTCTAAAGGCGCTCCTAGTAATAATCCTAAGTCTACACATTTCAAGCATTTTTTTAAAAGTTCTTCATTGTATTCCTGACTATTTTTTAAGGTAATAAGGCATTTTGCAAAGCTGGCTGTTGTGAAATACCGTCTTGTTTGAATAGGTACCTCACTCCAATGCCCTGTATTTAATTCGTCATTTAGAAAATCTAAGATACTTTCTATTTCTAACAGTTTAATTTCCTGGGGAACTGAATTTTCGTCTAAAGAATAATTTAGACAGACTATCAGTAATATTCTCACACTGTGGTTCAAGGTTTCAGGTTGTATGTTTAGTAACTCACATTTATCTAATATACAATTGTACAGTTCTGTTATTTTTGCTAAATTGTCCATTTTTATCTTGAAATCTATATGTATTTAGTTAGTGGAAAATTTGAATAATACTTCTAGGGAATATCATTCATGTAAACTTTTTTATAGGTATATAATAGACGTATAGATTGCATAGATATACCTACATCTTTTTTTAAGTTAGATCTTTTTAATATGCATCAATTGGTCAGCATTCATTCAACCATGAATGGTTCATCAGGTTCAAAGGAGGAATTCAAATTATTCCGAGATGACACTGAAGCCGACCCTGTCCTAAAATTTTACTGAAAACAAACCAGTTTTGAGCTTTGTTTTGATGAAACTGTATTTTACCTATTTTTTAATTTCTCAATAATTAGATATCAGATTTTAATTTAAAGAACTTACAACAATTCAGTAATGTTTCTTCTTTTCACCTCTTTTTTTTTTACACAAAATACGAATAAAATACAAAATTAAATTCGTTCAGTGCTCAGTCTCAGTGCTACCAACAGGATGGATTTAAAATTTAAGATTTAATTTAATAGCCGGCCGTGCGCATGATCGAAAATTGTGTTTTTACGAACTTATCGAAATATGGCCGTGTCAAATGTGAAATTAATTCATTTCCTTTGCATAAAACATTTATTTATGATTTGAAATCACGGTTGTATTTTAAAGACAATCTAAAAACCCGTAAAAAAGCAGCATTTGCCGTGTCATTGGCAACACTGATTCGTATGAAAGTTGGTTCCTATTGACTGACTAAAAGAAGGATTTTTTTTCTGTGTTGCCAAATTTCATTTTTTGAATAGAAACTACAGATGAAAAAATTTTTAAATTAAACGACTTACAATCTCAATTAATTTAGAAATACTATCAGAATTCTAAATAGTAGTACTGTCTCTAAAGTAAAGCCCGTACAACAAACGAGGCTAATGATCAGAGTTGTCGTAGTCGTCGAACAAGAAGATGCTCGCATATTGGAAATTATGATTTTAGTACAATTCAATTTTAAAATTAATGTTGGCAGTTATTGTAACACGTGATCCACAAAAAAATGTTTCTAAAGTAGGCCGTATGACCGACAGAGATACGAGAAATGCTTGTGATCACTGCGGAAACTGTAATTTAAACAGAATAATTATTGTCCGTCCTACTTTAGAAACAGTTTTTGTGGATCACTCCATATATATAATGAGGATGTAAATTGTGCCCCCTCTTAACTTCTAAATTGAAGGGAGAGATATGATGTTTTTATTGTTGCAACGAATTGCACTTTGCTTGAGACGTAAGATATAGAGGACGTCACGAAGACAAAATTTGAGTGATCAATCGTTTGAGTTTGATACAGACCATTCACTCGAGTTGTACTATTTATGTATACTATTTTTTACCACCCATAATAACGAAAATCTATAAATTTTAAAAATGAATCGAGAGGTTATTAGGATAAAATAACTATTTTAAAAATTATTTATAACTTTTACTAATAATATTTTCATTAGTCTTCCATCCTGGATTTGAACCCGGACCTTGCGCATGATAACTCAGTACTTTATCTCTGCACTAATGAGTAAACTAATTTTTCATATTTAATTTAATCCACCGATTATTCTTCACAAGAATCCATAGCATATGGGGGGTGTCAGAATCCGTACTCTACAGGGGATGCGAATAAAAGAAGATGTGGCTATTAAACCTACCCTCTACGATTGCACGACACTCTCATTTATTAGAAGATTTTGTGTTCGTTGTGTTTTGGCTAACACTGGCCGATATAAGAGAAGCATCTCTCGGTGACGTTGTTAAAGTACCTACATCAAATCAATAGGCTGCATCACTTATATTTCATCTCAATAACTAAAAAATATACTGGCAGTTAGTTTGACAGAAATATCACTTATTTCAAATTTAAAAAAATAGCATCTCCCGTTTGTACGTAGGATGGATCCTACCTCCATGGTGCGTAGTATATCCATGTGGGTGTAGAAAATAGTAGTTTGTGCGACAAGAGTGGATATGGACAATCCACTCGAGTTGTACAGCATATTTTTTTCTACGGCCTACTAACGAAATTTTTAAAATTATTTTAGGTTATTAAAACAAAATAACTAATTTTTAAAATAATTTATGACTTTTACTAATTTATAAAATATAATAAAATTAGTTTCATATAGTTTCATTAAAATTTATGATTTATTTGTAAATATAGACGAAATAAAAATAGAAATGCTATTATTTATTGATTCTACACAAGATTAACTTATTTTTACGTATATTTAATCTCGATAACTAAAAAATATACTGACAATTAGTTTGACAGAATTGTCACATATTAAATTTAAAAAATAATAATAGCCGTGTGACCGAAATATGAACTGTGTGATTGGTGGATTTCATTTTTTTGCAGTGTCCTTAGTAGAATGGATATGAAATATATTCGTTCAGTTGAATGCAATACTTTTTCATTTTGTAGTCTGTGGGTGCATAAGGTAATATCCATGTGGGTGTAGAAAAAATAAAATTAATCATCTGTGTGATATGAATCTTCTTATGCATGAATGGAGCTATCCAGCTTTCTAAACTTTAATATTTAATACTTCAGTTAATGATGATGTGACAACAACGCAACGTATTTCTGTTTTTAGTGCCATCTTCCCTCCCATCTCATTTTAGACTTCAATCGCTACTTGAAAAGAACACTTAGGAAGAGGGGGACACGTCCAGCGTATTCGCTATATTTATGTGTATTAGTGGGAGGGAGAAGTCCATAGGTACCTTTCAAGTATTGAGCAAGTAGTAAGTGTTTTGTGTGTTGCATGTTGACCTTGAGAGGAAAGTCTAGAAATATGTACATTTATTATAAATAACATTTCTTATTTACCTACTTATGTTAGTACAATTATTTGTTGACATTAATATGCATTAGTCTGTGTTGTTTGTTGTTACACATTTAATTAACTGTTTCTTTTTTTTAATAAATGAAAACCTTGTAAAGTGCCCCAGCTATTAATTAAAATATATTTTTACGAAATGAAGGTAATTTCTGTTTTATGAATCACTTCATCGATTTTGTTCAAATATTTAGGAGGCTACAAATAACTTCGTGATTTATTGTCAGCCCATGAGCCCAGTGATCAGTGACTATATATAAATAAAAATCAGATCAGTGATAAAAGTAAATTTCAAAGGCAAAGTACGGTTTCTATTTTTCAAAGAATTTACGCTCGAAGGTAAGTGCCAAGTGCTGGATGTATTGTACTATAAGAGTAACAAACACAACACATCATGCGATTAGTCAAAAAGTAGGAAAACAGCGTTATAATGTACATAAAATTTGCGACCGACTTCTGTTATTTTTTTACAACAAACATTTTTATTTTTAGGAAATTGGTGTGCTATGTAAAATATTCAAGTTTTTAAATATTTTGTTGAAACTCATGTACTTTGCTAAATCGTGATGAGTGATTTCAAGCCGAGATTTTTAAAACCATCCGATACTTCAAGCTTCTTGGACAAAAATGAACCACAATCATTAGAGAGTACTGATTTTATTTATAATAAACATTTGTCTCAGTCAATTCAAACCCAAAGACAGAGGTTGCCAATTTTCAATAACAGAAATCACATCTTGTACCTGCTTGAAAAATTTCAAACACTTGTATTAGTTGGTGAAACTGGTTGTGGAAAGAGCACCCAAATTCCTCAGGTGAGTAAGGTCTTTCTCTGAATAATTCTTGATTGGTTAGTGTTAAACAAATTAAAATTCCAACAATGGAAGATAATATATTTAACAATATTAATGTAATATAGGTATACTTTAAAAATTATTTTAGCTAAGTTTCATTGAAATAGTTGAAGTAGGTAAAGGGCAACTATATTCTAAATTAAATATTTAATTTATTATTTCAAATAACCAGTAACTGTCCCAAATACCTATAATCCTATAGATATCTCTATTTTAGTATTTCCTCCCCCATTTTCTTTTCTACTCATTTTTGTTAATTATTGTGGCATTATCCTGTTTTAGATACCTACTTAAAATTTTTGGTTTTGATGAGAGATGAAACATCAAAAAATAATTACAAGATCTGCTTGTTTACGGTATTTTTCGGACTATAAGACACACTTGACTATAAGACATACCTACCTCAAATTTTTAAGATGATTTTTAGTAAAATATATTTTAATGTTACTTTCAGATCATAGTTTTTATTTATTGTTTACATAATGTTTCCTTCGGACCATAAGAAGCCCCCAAAATTTGAGTCCATTTTTCTATGTAAAAAGGTGCCTCTTATAGTTCGAAAATATGGTATTTATTATTCAACAATACTTAAAACTTTTGTTTTTGAAGAGAGATGGAAAAATAATTACAAGATCTGCTTGTTTATTTATTATTCATTAATATTTTCTGCATTATTCTTTGCTCAAGCTGGTAAAACTGATCCTATTAAAAATAACTTGTTCATTTTTGGAATTTCAGTTTTTTTTTAATCTCAGAACGTGGTTTAATAGCTATTTTTCTTAAACAGTGACGAATGTTGGCTTTTTCACAGTGAATTGTAGATGAAAAATAATTTATTATTTTAACTTGTTTTTATACATATACTTACATCATCTGCAGTTTAGTATTTCTAACCACATATTTGACATTATTTTTAAATTGAGTACCAATTCAATTACACAGGTCTAAAAATGTTTTTTCAGCAGCATGAGATATTTTTGGTAAATTGTATATTTTATAGGATGCTGGATCCAAAACGGATTTTCATTTCCCTCTATCACGTAGTTTTTTTACAAAATATTGAAAATGCATAACAGCGAAGAAAAAATCAATATTTTATTACTATTAACTAAAAGTAATTTTTCTTATAATTGAAAAAATAATCAAAAATAATTCCTTCATGACATACTTAACACTACATGTTTACTCTCTCTGTCTGAGAAACCCTTTCTTCTTCTCTTTGATGCTCCTCCAAATACTTTGTCACTTTCCATCTTCTGTTTCCCTCAAGAACATTCAATAAGACTAGCATGTTGACGTCCCATCTTTCACCCTTCTCTTCACTATAGGCTTCTATGTTTTTCAGGAAACCAGTAAATAAGGGAGTGTCAATATGAGTTTTACATGAAAATTTTTAAATATTGTTTCCGGTTTCAGTGGGATTTTTTTTTACAAAAAATGTTCAAAAATTCCTTTGCAGCTTTTTGATTGCAGACCTGTGTTATTAGAATTCTGATTGAGCCAAATCATGTGTAGCTATATCCTTCCTATATCTAGATAATATATTTTATTATGATCAAATATTTTGTTTGGTACATTATTAACAAAAATAAAAAATTGAAATATCTTAGTAATAAGCTTGATGTCTGATTAATAAAAGATTACTTAAAACTCACGGTATATAAATATTAAATAAAGCTTTTAACAAATGTTAAATAAAGTGATCATTAGCCATTGATACAAATTTATCCAAATCTAATGTTGAATATAAAATATAAATAGTATTTGGGCATATTTTACAAATAAATATTTGATGATGGGATCTATAAAATTGTAACAGGATACATTTTTCTCGAGATTTTTCTTAGATAGTTTGCTTTATCAAAAGTAAGCATTGTTATATTCCTACTACCACTTAGTTTAGTTTTGATAAATAATAAAATCGTTAGGAAATCCAAATTTTAATTAAAGATAATTTGATTTATTTTATGATATTTAAAGATAAGTAGTTGTAATTTATTAACCACTTCCTAGAAGTATTTAGGAAGAAGAATTTAAGAAGTATCTAATATAATTTTTTATAAATCAGGATCGTATTTAAAAAGATTTTTCAAAACTAACAAAAGCAATTTTCTAATCTAATAAAACTCAAAAGGTTTTATCAGTTCCATACTGTTCATTTAGATAAAAATATAAATCAATTATGTTTTGATATTTATTACCTATCTAGTCAGTATCTATCAGTAAAATCATATCAGCTTTTAAACCACAGTAAATAATAGAGACTTAAATAAATGATTTGTATTCCATAAATTTATGGCCATCTTATTTTCACATCTTTTTAACTAGGCCCAATGAGCCGAAGGATTGTCAAAACGATCAGAACATCGCTTGGATAAATTATCAGCACAAGCGCATTTGAAGGTCTTGTCTCGTTCGTGCTAGTTTTGTACCTATGTTATTGTTGTGATTTTAAGTTAGCTTGGAGTGGCTTGGGTTTTTATTTCTTTCAATTAAAATGCATAATTTTTGTTTTTATCTTGTGTACGTTTTTTTTATGTAAAATACGTACTCATTTTTAATAAAAATTAACATCTTAAGGTTTAAAAATTATACATTCACATAGATCATTCTAGACAGCTAAATAAATGTATTAGGTTGAATTTTAAATAATGTTTAAAATACCAATTCAACCAAACATGTGATTGGTTTATCCAATTCCTTTGAATATTGCGTTTCAACAAGTGCAAGTCGCTGATAAAACAACGGACGAATAAATGGACTGACATGCGCAATGATTAGTTTACGAATGCATCCATGCAAGAGTCAAAAACACATCAGAAAGGAGCTATTGGAACAAACCTTATAGTTTTGGGTTTGTCTCAGTTTTGGTTTTGTTTTTCAAGTTCCAGAAAACACAAACTCAACTGTCTGTTTAGTGGAAAACCCTGTTTATGAGTTGGGCTAGTATCGTAGTTCGATAGAGATAGATATATCTTTACAATCATAGCTGCAATTAAGATGGGATATACAAAGCGATACAGACGGGAAACACCGTTAGCCGACTATAGATCACCCACGGCAGCCGTTTTAATTGATTTTTTTTTATAATTATTAATGTAAGTTGATTATTATAAGACATAAAAATATGGTTGATGATTGGTTATGTTCTAAACACATTTTAAAAACGTTTACAGCGAGTAGCTTTTTTCGTTTTAGAAGCTTGTTTAGCTAATTTCGTAGTGTAAACATAAAAAGTACAACATCGCTTATTTTTAACACGCTTTTATTAGCTTCACCTGTATGTATGTACGTTTGTAACTCTCCTTTGGACTAAAAGCAAGTGGCTTATTACTGTCAGTATATTCCACTACCTCAAGTTCGTTCGTTGGCCGAGCGGTCTAAGGCGCGGGTTTTCGATCGCCAGACTCACCGATCGTGGGTTTTTTTTCAGCAATTTTTTTAATAATCAAACTAAAAAGTAAATAAATATAGTTTAAAAAAACTAAAAAACACGCTTTTATAATACATCGAACTAAAAAGTGAAAAATAAATATAGTTTAAAAAAACTAAAAAAACACGCTTCTAGAGCATATCAAACTAAAAAGTTAAAAATAATTTTTCAAATAAGCTTAAAACGATATTAAATGGAAAATACTAGTATTATTGTGAAAAAAGCGTGGGGAGCCTTGTCCATATTTCTCGTATATCGAGCGCCCGACGCTTTTTTCACTCGTAATTGCCAACAGAAGTTTAATAAAATATCATTCTACCTCCAATAAATATAATCCTAAAAACATAATAAACATAATCTTTTCAAACAAATTATTTCATGCTTAAATTATCAATTCACCTTCCAAGAAAGAAGAAATTACCAAACATCTGTTTGTCAGCTTGTCTAGGAAAGATTTCGTAAATAATTCGGTAAAAATGCATATGCGTATTACTAAAATTTTCAGTTTATGTGAAAGTATATGTCTTTTGAAGCTTAAAAATAAAAAATACTCTTGGCGGTCACTAATTTAAATAAATTCAATCGCTTTTAAAATGTTCACTTTTTCACTTGCAATGGTCAATCAGGTGACGTTTGTGTACTAGTTTACTGAGATTGTTAAATTTATTATAATGACATGGAGATACAATGGACACATAAACAAGAGTAACTCCGATGTCTCCAGGCCGTATAGGTTAGGTAAATTAATTGAGTTTTTTAATTTTTCGCATTTTTTGTATAATATTTTACGAAACAATCCGCGATCGTTCCAGGCCGCACAGGTTAGGTAAATTAGTTAGGTTTTTGTATAATTTTTGCTAAATTACCTGCAATGGCTCTAAAACCTACAGGTTAGGTAAATTAGTGAAGTTTTCTAAATTTTTCTCATTTTTGCTAAATAACCTGCAATGGCAATAAAACCTACAGGTTAGGTAAATTAGATAGGTTTTTCTCATTTTATGTATAATTTTTTTTGCGAGGTAGTCCCGATGTCTTCAGGCCGTATAGGTTAGGTAAATTAATTAAGTTTTTTTTTTTAATTTTTCGAATTCTATGTACACTTTTTTTACGAAACCATCCGCGAGGTTCCAGGCCGCACAGGTTAGGTAAATTAGTTAGGTTTCTGTTTAATTTTTGCGAAATTACCTGCGATGGCTCTAAAACATACATGTTAGGTAAATTAGTTAGGTTTTCTAAATTTTTCTTATTTTATATATAACTTTTTGAAGAAACAACCTGAGGTAAATTAGTTAGGTTTTTCTAATTTTACGTGTAATTTTTTTTGCGAGGTAACCCTAATGTCTCCAGGCCGTATAGGTTAGATAAATTAATTCAGTTTCTTTTAATTTAGCATATTCTATAGCAAGAAATTGATCAAAATGTGATATATAAAAAACATATTTTGGGCGTTTCCAGGGCAAAAAAAAGTATTTTGAAATTTGTTTCAGAGGGTCTAAAATGGCCTTAAAAAGAGCCCGTTCGACCGATG